GAGGTTGAGAGGATGGGGGCGGGGGAGAAGAAGAAGGAGGACAACATAACAAGTTCGATGGGGAGGAAAAAGCTTCGACTGAGGTAGAGGGGTAGGGAATGGAAAGAATGTGATGAGAGGTAAATAGAAAGGAAGGGAAGAGGGGAGAAGGGGGGGGGTGAGAAGGGGAGGGAGAGAGAAGGAAGAAGAGATGAAGACGTCGGGAGAAGAAGAAGGGTGATGAGGATATGGCGAAGAGCATCAACAGATTAGAGTGTTAGATTCAAAGTACTACTAGAAAAATGGAGGCAGTTGAAGAAGATAAACGGGAAGTCAAGAAGAAAGAAAGACATAACAAAATATTATTTAAATAATCATTCACATAATTTAGCAGCTCTCACAATCAGACAGATAACTGTGCAGTACTTACAGTAGTATTTTCCGTACATGCCGAGACCTCCCATCATGGGGTATCCCATTCCGTATCCGTATCCGCCGTAGAAGGGCATTCCCATACCGTACATTCCCATACCTCCGTACATGCCCATACCTCCGTACATTCCCATGCCTCCGTACATTCCCAGACCTCCGTACATTCCCTTCATTCCTAAACCGTAGCCCAAGGCCAGAGTGTCAGCCACAAGGCATGAGGCGACGAGGACGACCAGGCAGAGGGAGGTGAAAGAGGCCATTGCTGATGAGGAGAAAATATTAATTTCAATAGGTGTACACTCTGAAAATTCCCTTAATATCATTACGCGGCAGTTCGAATTTTGAACCTAAGTTGAGACTGACTATTTCGTTGTACTTCATCTAGGGATATTCTGGGGGGTGGGGGGGTTGACTACTTTCTACCTCAGAATAACAAAGTACTTCTCAGTACCTAGTTTTGATAAATTTGATGTTACAAAAATGTGGGTTTCTCTGTCTCTCTCACTGGGCCCGTAGGTGTACGTGTATATATACATGTGTGCGAGTCTTTTTGTGTTTGTATAATCATTTTTCATTAGTGAGTATTGATGCCTGCATTAATTCATGTACTTATGCATGAGCAAGAATAAGGAAGTTCTATCTTCTCAGTACCTAGTTTGGATCAATTTGATGTTACAAAAATGTGGGTTTCATAACATGTCAAGCTTTTTCGAAGGCTATTTGAATATCTGGATAACGACTTGGAATAATCTTACGATTTTGATAGAGCAGATAGAACACTTGTTTTCGAACACCATGGTTTTAATAACTCAAAAGCACCTCAACGTTTATAGAGAATTTTGTAATACTGAGGTAGTACATTGATACACAGAGTACATTGCCCGATGTTTTTTGTTCAAAAATGTCTGTCTATCTTGAGAACTTTTAAGATGTTGAGTCTCTGTGTGCGCACACTAGCTGGATTCATATAACAAATGTCATAAGTTGCCAGATGCTGTGTTACTAGAACACAAAACTATGATTAGAATTGTCTAATACCATTTAAAAGATATTGATAACTTGTTTCCAAATAAAAAGATAAAGTTTTACCAAACGTTTCAAAAGAGAGGGACTTTCACAATATTATGTTCAATCACTTCTAAAGCCATTGCCATTTTATTATTGGAAATTATGATAATAAAAGACGTCCACCTGACTAGTAATGCAAGATTACTAACAACGTATATATCGGTCATCCTAATCATTGGCTTTCTCACTCTGGCCAGGGTATAATATGCCACTGACAAACACTTTCCACTTTTCTTTTTTCCTGGTCTGACTTCATGACGTTTTTCCGTGTCTTTTCACTTTCCTGTTAAGGATCAATATCCGTTGCAATATTTTTCTCTAAATGCAAGATGAATAGTTAAGAATGTGCTTTAGTACAGACTGTCGGTTGATCTTTTTTTTTTTAACAGTCAGTAAAAAAGTAACATGAGCTATAAGAAACCGTAGTTTCACAAGCTCTCAAAGCACTGAGCAATAGAGAGAAAAAAATATTAGCTTTTCTTACCTAGAGTTGCGGGATGATCCGTGGGACTGTGAAGCTTTGACAGTGATCAGACTGGAGAGTGATGTCCTTTCTCGAGGATCTGGGCCTATATTTATACCCTTCAGAAGTCCAGCGAGGTTACACGCAACTAGTCAGTTTCGTTCTACAACGCCTGACGATGGTCAATACATATTTACAGGAGAATAGTTCCCGGGAGAAACAGAGAAAATAAAGGTTTAGATGACCTGGGGCTTCTGCTATGCCCAATGGAAACAACTTTGAATGAAAAGAGTTTATCATTATATTTTGAACATTTAAAAGAGACATATCCATCTTTAAAAATTAGAATTAAGCATGCAGGCTCTCTGCACAGTCTTCCTGGGCGTTACACGCTAAACGTAATGTCTAAAGATAAGGGCAACTTATAGTGGTGTGTATACTTCTAAACAGGGGGGAATAATCACCAAAACAAAAACAAATTGTCACATTATTTCACTCAAAATCAAGAAATGTGTGTACATAATAATATGATCCGGTCTTAATCTAGCAAATATCTATTTTCTACGGCTTCTCGATCATAACTATCAAAAATAACATTATGTTGGAGTTCCCAATAAATTCCTCAAACAAAACTGCTTTATTATTCAGATTTATTTTTCAGTTTCGTTCTCTGCAACAGTGTCACTAATGTATCATCTTTAGTTGCCATACCCCTTCATCATGTCCATTCAGTGAGCTATTGGTCGTGCGTGCGTGCGCGGCCGGTCGTATATGACGAGCCATGAGGTAAGGAGTTAGACAAGCCGGGCTGTACCTCTGTGTGGGAATGTGTCCACTTGTCTACTCACGTAACTGTGAGTGATCAGAGAGGCCGACTGACCTCTGACGCACGTCCTGGTAAACTTGGCTAACGTTCGCACGCGGAAGTTTAGGGTTTGAATCCGAGTGAAGGCTGAATAATAATAGTATTTGTTTCTTTGTATTCATTCCTTCTTCGTTAACTTTACTAAGTATACGGGGGAGATATGGAGTGGTTCGCTCCTGTCTTCCTATCAAATACATGTCTTGTCATTCTTTTCTCTCTCTCTCTCTCTTCTCATATGACCTTATGCAGTTGCGAGCGCCGTTAAACTCTTACTAACTCTAAAACCTCTTCTTGTCTCTTTAAGTTAGTTTCGTTATAGCAACATCTCTAATTTTCTACACTTATTACAACCGAATTGTTTTGTAAGCGACCCAAAACTCGTACTAAAACTAAAACAAACCCTAAAACTGTGAGGAAAGAGGCGCGCTGAATATCAATACCCAGTGTACATTGTCCCTGATACATCTGTTCTATTATTTAATCCGTCGGGACTTGCTAGGATGTTCCTTCTTGGGGGACCAAAAGCTGCCATTTTGACACATGTTGGTCAAATCCTACTAAAAATGACTTCAAATGATAATAATGTCAGTAAATGGGTTGTGTGCACCTGGTATTGCATGGGGGCATTGCTGTTTGCTCTGCTGGTAACTTGGGGTATATAGTTAGCAAAGGTGGAAGCGGGTGGGACGGGTGTACGGATCGCTCTGCTTAGAATCTAAGTAATAACATAGTTTTATTTTGACTTGGGTCATTTTGGGAGTTTGATAAGAAACATTCTCCTTTTTTTTAGGTTTGGTGGGATTTTATCGGAACTGTACAATGCAATCCAAGTTACTGTCTCTTGGATAACCTTGATTTTACTCAAGGACGTCGACTTTTCATTGTACCACAATTTAATTTTTTGCCATAGATTCGCTATCATATAATTTAAGTGTTTACGCGCGCGCGACGCGTGTGTGTGTGTGTGTGGCTGTGTGTGTGTGTGTGTGTGTGTGTGTGTGCGTGTGTAT